GAGGACGTCATGGTGGGACGTGTGCTGCTGCAGGAGGTGAAGCACAGGCCACTGGTATATGTGAAGATGCTACCCTGCCATTTTCATGATATCCGCAATGACACAGGGCACTCGCAGGTGGTGCCATCTTCGATGCTCCTTCACCATGTACGGGAGGATGACTACGCTGCGCTCATGGCGCGCTTCGGCAACGACACATCGCCTCCTGCCCGTGTGTCGTGGGTTTCCAGTGACGTGATATACCCTGCGTGTGATTGATGATGAAACATTTTTCTTTTTGTAAATGTGTTGCTTGCTTTTTTGCTGCATCCTCAGCGGGTGCTCCGTGTGCTCTATGGCCGAAGGACGTGAACGGTGTCGCTGACTGCCCCTGTGGAGCCTGCCGCTCCCCGCCTGCTGCCCTTCTCGTGCGTGGCGGTGGCCAGACGAGTGAGCGCCTCTTCAGTCTTTTTTTTTTTTGTTCTGCGGTCGTGCTTCGGCTGGGAGCGCGTAATGGAAGTGCGCGGGTGGGTGCTTGGCCACCAGTGAGCGATGCGCCTGGGCTTGGTTTTCGTCTTATATATATATATATATTGTTTGAGTGTGATTTTACTTTTTTCTGTCTACCATCTTTGCTGTTTTGCCTATTTTTACCGTAACTACTTAATCACTTTTTGCTCGCGTGCTGACGCTGGATGTTATAAGGACATAGTGTGCTTACTTGTGTGTGTCACGCATGGCACTTAGCAACGCCTCTTTTAGCGTTATTTACGGAAACGAGGAGCTCGTTGTTGTGAGCAAGCCGCACGATGTTCCTATGGACGGGGAAGAGCACGTAGTGACGGTGGAGAAATGGGCCCATGCGTACCGCGCAAAAAGTGACTGTGCCAACAGTGCCGCTGGTGGTGATGCGGACAGGGATGAACGGGCGGCGGGGACTGCAGGCACGTACACGGGACGAAGGAACTTGGTGAAGTTTGTGCACCAGTTGGACTATGCCACGAGCGGTGTGTTGTGCATAGCCTTCTCGAAGGAAATGGCCGCGCGGCTTGCTCACTGCTTTGAGATGCGCACGGTGCAGAAGGCTTATTTGGCTGTTCTTTGTGGAATGATTCCACCACTTCGTATTGCCCAGAATAATCGGGACACGGACGCTGGCGTGGATTTTCTTATTGGCTCACGGTATAGCAGTCGTGTTCGTATGGTTCTAGTTGATGATGTGCCAAACGCTCATTTTGTTCGCAAGTGCATAATGGGGGCCAGCGGACACGTAGAGGAGGAAGATGCTGGAGACTGCGCCGCCCTTCTTCGCGTGGACCTTCCTGTGGGGTACGATACGACCGACCCGAGGGGTTTTCGAATGGCGGTGAACGGAAGAGACGAGCGGGAGAGTGTGACGTACGTGCATGTGCTGCAGCGCGGGTACATGATGCATCCCACCTTGGCTTGCCCAGTGCCGGTGACAAAAGTCGTGCTGTTTCCGCGAACGGGTCGGCGGCACCAACTTCGAGTGCATTGTCATGCGATCGGTTTTCCGATTCTTGGCGATGTTACCTACGCAAGCATTCCAACTCCACGGGTTGCTCCAGAAGCACAGGGAGCTGAAACGATGACAAATGTTGGGGCCACCGCCTCGGCAAACGTGGCGGACGAGGTGAAAGCTGCAGATGCATGGCAGCGGATGATGCTTCACGCGTGGCGTCTCTCATTTCCCGTAAGTGTGGAGCCACTGCGGTGTGGGATGGAGCGTTACATGCAGAAGAGGCGGCGAAGACGTGAGACATTGGGCTTGGCGGTCGCCAGTGGCGACGATGCTGCTGAGTGGACGCATTTTGAGACGAAAGATCCGTTCCAGTCGATTAGCCGTCAATGACTTAGTGGATCACGAGATACATGCATAGTAGTGAAGTGACCGTGATTCCCACAGACATAATTTTTTTTGATATTATATATATATATATATGACCGGAACAAAAGCCCTGTCGCACATGAAACGGTGGGTGAGGGGGTGCCGCGGAGCCCTCTAACCCGCACGAAGTGTGGAATACCCAAGGGACGCGCCACGGCGACGATGATGGAAGAAAGTTTACCTATTACCTTTTATATCCACTATGCTGTTTTCCTCTGCGTCTTTGTGTCTCTATGATAGTTTTTTTTGTTTGTTTGCTCTTGCATTGTGGGCGCGTGTGCTTTTCCTTTTGCCGTTGCCGGGGACGCCGTACAACTAGAGGAATGCTGCACGAAGTGTATGCCCCTGGCGACGCAGCCTCAGTGGCTTGGAGCCGCCAAAAAAAGGTTGCGTTTCTTCGTCTCATTTCCGACATGCAGGATGGCATGCGACCACCGAGTGTTGTTGTCCTCTATGGCCCAACGGGATCTGGTAAGCTTTCCTCTGTACGGGTCATGCTTGAAGAGCAGCGCGATGCCTTGGGTCGGCCGCTGCTGGTTGAAGTGATGCATTCCTGCGAGGCAACGCCGCAGCAGTACTATAGTTTTCTTATGGATACCTTCACGGAGCACGAAATGACGGGAGATGACGCGTGGGAGTCACATCCTGCAGCATCTTCCGTCCTTGCGGACGTCTCCGGTGATGTGAAGGATGAAGCTCGACTGCCGAATGGCGCCAAGAGTCACCGACTGGCACGCGTGGTGGCCCGGGTTGTGAAGTTTTACGGCGAGTCGCTGTTGTCACCCCTCCACACACGTACCCTGCGTTTCCTTGACCATTACGACACATGGAGGTGCAGCGAGCTTTCAGCAAAGTGTATTAGCGATGGCACCGGTGCATTAGATGGTTCACTTCTTCGGCGCCATTTTGTGTTTTTCATCCTCACGACACACGACACACACAGCGATAAGGTGACACTGGGGAAACTGCTGCCTTCCCGTGTTCTTACACATTCGTGCATTCACTTCTTTCACTGCACTCCACTCACAACACGCAACTTGACGGCACGCGTCAAGGATATCTTGCGCATGGAGCGACAGCGGCAAAAGTGTGGTGTTCGACACCGCCTTTCAGATGACGAGGTGGAGTTCCTGTGCAAGCATGGTCATGGCGATATTCGTCAGGCGTTGCTGCAGGTGCAGTGGTCATGCCTTCTTTGGGAAAGGGGCTTGAATGAAGCAGGGTTAACATTAACGTCAGCTGAGACACAGGGAAAGGAGAAACCGCAGGCCAAATCAAAGAAACTGAGAAGTGTCATGGATCTTCTTGAGGATCATGATAGCGCTGAAGTGGTGACCTCCACCCTGCAACCACTAATGGCGGCTGAACAGGGTTCTGAGGAAGAGACGGGAACGGCGGTGCTTTTCCGGGACGAGTATCTCGATGTGGCACATGCGACTGCACGTATTCTCACGCAGAAATACACCCTATCTTCCGTGGTGAGAGAGCTAAACACTGAGCCTGAGAAGTTACTTGGTTATCTGACAAACAACATGCCAGTTTACTTCCGTTCAGGGCAAATGCAAGAGTATGCAGAGTGTGCTGCTTCAGCGAGTGCTGCTGACGCTCTACGTGCCGCAGAATCATTTGGTAAGCGTAGGCAAAGTGGTGCAAGTCTTCACACTGCACGGCTTACCTCTGGAGATGATAGCGATGGCAGTGGCGTCGTGGGGCTGGACCTCATATCCCTGATATTGTTTGGTAAGACCTACGAGGTTTGCCACAAGGACGTTTGCATCCCACGTGCACTTGTGGCACAGCGTCCGCCGCCGTACCAGCCTCTGGCCTACCCACGTCTGCGAGATGTGGAATTAACGCGAAAGCGTTCGCGGAATGATGGCTGGGGATACACTGAAAATGATTTTGAGCAGCAAATGAGACGAGGGGAACGCGGACTCTACTCGACAGAGTTGGAGTGGCGCCAGGAATTTATGCGACGGCTACAACTATGCGAAGTGAGTGGCAATTCCTGGCGCAGTACGGAGGCTGATATTGTGCGGGAGTCTCTTCCGGCACTTCTCAACAGGTGTGTCGCGTTGGACACGGTGTTGCTGGAGTACGCCCCCTATGCGAGGTGCATCGTGCTTGACCGCTCCCCTCTCTCTGCCACTTTCCGTGCTTCGGATTCGGGTGCGATCGCGCTCTCGAAGAACATGGCGTCGGCCAGTAAACGACCTGTGAAACCTTCCCCGAAACCGCCAGGGCCGAAGAAGACGTTATTCTCTTTTGCGAAAACGAATGCCCCATTGCTGCAGAGACGACCATGTTCCCTTCTACGGTACAATGTGCTTTGCTGTGGCCTGAGTGAGAGACCTTCTGTCAGGGTGGACTCCTTTTTTCTTGTCCCGCGCAACGATGATACCGGTGACGATGATGATCTGTTGGATGACACGGCGGCCGACTCCAACACCCCGCGGCCACTTCTGCCCGATGGAGAAGACATTGAGGAGTACAGTGACTGAAGGAGAGGTGTGAGCGCCCTGCCCGCGACCATCCTCCGCACACAAATATATACATTTCGTTGTTGTTGTTGTTGTTTTGTTTGTGTGCTTCGGTTGTGTTATTTTTTTTCTCGTTCTCTCTCTGCGTGTGTCTTGCCTACATTCACGTTCCCTGTATGTGTTCTTTCTCTTTGCACTGGGGCGATTAACTGTATTTTTGCTTGTGTGACGTTTTCGTCACAAAAAACAAAAACACAAATGGCACCAAAACACAAAACGAACAAAATGAAATACGCAAAAAAAGTCGTACGGACAGGGTAGTGCGAATAAGCAACCTTTGTGAGTGGTCAAAGGAGTAGGACACGCAGTGGGGCGCCAATATATATAATATATACATATAGTTATTATTATACGACGCCCAGGGGGACTCGACAGGAAATCATGGACGCCTACACGTCATTGTTGAACCTGAACTTCATGTCGGCCTGGCGAACAGGCAACAGCCTGATTGATATGGTCATTGCCATTACCATTCCTCTTCTGTCAAACTGGGTGGCAAGGTTCTTCTCCGTCACTTGGCCTGAGTTTGTGAGGACATTGCTTCACTGGTACCTACCTAAAAAGGTGCAGGTAAAAATTCAGCACGGTCTGGCCGATCGATATCAGCGGGCGGTGGATTTGACGGAAGGGTCTGTGCTGCAGGAGGCTGTCGAGCGATACATCAGCAGTCAGGTGAAGCCTTTCTACTCAAATGGGGAGTTTGTGTACAGTATGGTGTCACCCAGCGATGGACCCGAAAAAAAGACCATGGCGCAGTTATTGGAGGAGAACTTTAAGCTTTTCTGTCGGCCCATGAAAGAGAGTGTTAATCTAGGGAACGGCATGTTTATTCGCATTTGGGAATCTGAGGATAAGGAGCCTGAAAAATCAGAGGGGGCCGTGAACAACGGCCACAGAGGGAGGGGGCAGGAGAAGCAAACAAGGTCCAATCTGCGAGAGATTGTCTTTACGGAAAACTCAGGAGGCCGCACTGAGGGCGACGAAGTGTTAACATTTACACGGGCTGCGTTTGAGTGGTACGTGCAGAGCTTGGAGACGGTATCGAGCCGGAAACGCTACCTCTACCAGCCTCTGCGAGGAACAGCCTCCTTTGAAGAGGTGCATGGTGAACTGACGAAGGTTGTGCGCTACCCGCTGTACGACCTGAAGTCATTTAACTCCCTCTTCTTTCCTGAGAAGGAGAAGCTTATAGCGCTGCTTGAACAGTTTGAAAACAAAACTGGCAAGTTTGCCGTGCCCGGCTTTCCTCATAAACTCATCTTGCTGCTCCACGGGCCACCTGGCACAGGCAAGACAAGCCTTGTCAAGGCTATGGCACAATACACGGGGCGCCACATTTTCTCTGTCCCTCTTGCGCAGGTGCGCACCAATCACGAGCTTATATCCTGCATGCATGACCAGCTCTTTGAGGTGAGCAACGAGCGCCAGTACTGGAGGGTGTCACTCCGCCCAGAGAACGTCATCTATCTCCTAGAAGACGCTGATGCCACCTCCGACGTTATGCTTAAAAGTAAGGAGAAGGAAGCAACGACGAAGACTCAAGGCAAAAGACTTCTTCGCCCACAAATGGACGCACTTAGTACAAAAGGACTGTTAGAGGCCTTTGGTGGAATTCTTGATACCCCAAAGCGCATAATTGTGATGACCACAAATCATATCGATAGACTAGATAGTGCTATTATTCGCCCAGGTTTTGTCACAATGCGATTGTACATGGGGAATTTCACGACGGAATACGCAGTGCAGATGGTCAGGCATTACTACGGGCCTGAGGCAGCCACAGATGAGCGCCTGGAGTGTCTGAAGGAGGTTTTGCAGCGGGCTAGTGAGACGGCGATTTATTTTAGTCCCTCCGAGCTGGAGCAGCTTTGTGCAGAGTATGACGATATCGAAGATCTCATTGAGGTGCTGAAGAATGGAAGTCGAGAACAGATGTTCTAAATGCACACATCCACTACTTTCACACATGTGGACAAATTTCAGCTAAAAAGAAGGCATTTCTTTTTGCTTTTTTTTTCTTTGCATTGTGAGAATGGAGAGTTTGTCGGACGCATGAATCGCCACGCAATCACACGTACTCTTTTTTTTTTCTTTGGTGGGGGTGGGGTGGGGGGTTCCCTGACACATATCCATGCATTCTTTGCCATCTCTCCCATTCGCACCTGCGCGAGCAGTTGAAGTGTGTGGGGACAAAAAAAAAGAGGATAATAAACACATACTTATATATAAGAGGCAGTACACAAGCAAAACATACATATACAGTGTGAGGTTGACGGGGTGGCATCTTGTTATAACACATTTATGGCGTCCGCAACCACACCCATAAACGTCCTGATACTGGTAACGGGCAGTATTGCCGCCGTAAAAGTGGGTCTTTTGCTGGACCAACTCTTTGGCGAGTCGTATCAGGTTCGCATTGCTGCTACCAAGTCCGCGTTTCACTTTTTGAATCGAGCGCAAAAAGCTTCCCGAGGTCTTAATCTGCATCACATTCTCACTGACGAGGATGAGTGGAAGGAGTGGCAGGGAATGAACGATGCCGTTATCCATATTGAACTGCGGAGGTGGGCACACCTTGTCGTCTTTGTACCGTTAGACGCTAACACACTTGCAAAGCTGGCACATGGCTTATGCGATAACCTAGTCACGTGTGTGATGCGGGCGTGGGAAGTAAAGCAGAAGCCGGTGATTTTGTGTCCAGCAATGAACACTGCTATGTGGACACATCCGGTGACCTCGAAGCAGTTGTACACTTTGCGGGACTGGTACTCTGCGACTCCTGTTGACTTGCACTTGGACAATAACGGAACCGATGACGATGCCTTGGTACTTCCCAGCACATTGGATGAGGCAATGTTTCAGATCATAAGGCCTGTTAAGAAGCGTTTAGCGTGCGGAGATGTCGGGATAGGCGGAATGGCCAGCGTGGAGGATATTTCCAAAGCTATAAGAAACACAGCAGGTCTTATTCGCGCCAAAATGATTAATGCCACGAGCAGTAAGCCTACATGCGGAGAGGCAACCCAGGGAGAAATGCCAGAGGCATGTGAGCAACATCAAAACTCTGGTGAAAAACATCATCCGGAGACTTTGTAATAGTGAAGCCCTTAGGCACCTTGCTTCTTGCTGATTGGATATTGTCACACATATCTAGCACTGCTAGTGTTTTCTTTTTTTTGTAAATCATATTGATCCTTCATCCACTCATTTTGTCTTTATCTCATCGTACTTCATTTCTTCTTCTTCTTTCAGTTTCTTTGGTAGATGCGAGGACTTACATGTGCAACGTAAACACAATACCTCTCATGCATCTCCATTTCGATTTCTTCTTCCTTTTCGCGGGTGTTTGGAGTGTATATGATATGTACCGCTGCTAACTGCTTCATTGTTTTTATGTGATGGATGCAATGGTAAAGTTTGGGCACGTAGACGGGTGGTGTGAGACAAATATGCGAGACGAGCTGCGGAGGATTCGATGTTTTATTATCCGCTCCAACCAGTCGTGATGCACGCGGCGGCATCGCTGCACCCGTACATTCTAGCGGCATGCCGCGTTGTTGCGGAGTTCAAGAGAGTGAGAAAGCGGAGGGAAGGATGTCGCACGAGAAGGCATGGCTGGAGGCTGTGGACGTAATCTTGCAGTGGGTGATGGGCGCGCTTCAAGGTGACGCAAACTCCATACGCCTCATTGCGTTTTTATTGAAGAAATTGGGGGATACGCCGCCCCAGGTGCCCTCGCAGGAGGGCAGTTGTGACTCCCGCTGTACGGGCTCGCGCGCCGCAATGCAGCGGATTCTGGCGGAGGGGAAAGGCGCCAGTTCAGACAGCGCTGGCCTGGATACTTGCAGTGCTGACTGCTCCGAACGCAATTACATTCTTAATATACAGACAGACCTTTTCCGGAGTTTATTTACCTCTGATGTCTTCAGTGATATGGCGAAGCAGGTGTGGCCAAACATGGCTTAGCCTAAGTTTGAATATCATTGGAGGTGAAAGTGGAGATTATATTTTTTTGTGACAGCAAAACGTCGCAGCGGCACGGTGTGCTTGCGTCCAGTTGGATTGTCCCTATGGACCCCAATGATTGTTGGCCCTTTGTGTGCTTTTTGTGAACCGATAAAGGAGCAGAGGTTACACCTACATTATCAGGCTGCTCG